CATTCAAAACTTGTATCTTTCAGGGGTTTGTGAGGAATATTTTTAAAGCAAGGCTTCAGGATTTTTTTAAGATACTGAAAAACGTGGGAGCTTAAAAAAAAAAGATTAATTAAAACTTCCAATAGTCTTCCTTGGGACCACTCGGAAAGGAAAGAAAAAAGTGATGATGACACTATATGGACTCGGATCGTTATTTTTACCTCTCGCCGTTTGCTGGAGACTTTGTGATGATGGGAACATGCTTGCGCATATTTTCTACTTGAGCAATATGGTACGCTACTATGCTCAATGTCGTCTCTTGTGCCTTGGAAAATGTTTTTTTTTTGTGGAAGGATCAAATGGTGAGGGATCACGAGGTGGTTAATTTTGTTGGGACCTTGTGTTGGTCTTGAGTGCATCGGTTAATTGGTTTCCGAACTAATACAAGTGTTTCTTTTTTTTTGTTTCTTGACTGGAGGGACTGAGTCTTCCGAGAATTTGTTGGGAATTTATTGTTGGATCTTACCGCATTTTTACGGTTTTCGCTGGTTTCCACTTTCTTCCGCCGTTGTTGATCGTGAGATGCGGCTATTATGTATTAATTTAAGAATTTTTACTCGCGCGCCCTCTGGACGAAAAAGTGTCAATCTTTTTTGTGTGGTCGGTTTATGTCAGCAGTTTGCTTATCAAAGAAATATGGGAGCCAATGAAAACCGTCGGGGGCAGCGGATTTTTTTTTGTCCATAGCATTTTTTTGCGTTTGGGCTAGATTTAGAAGAAACATGGATTCATGTTTTGCAGGGAAACATTTTTTGTCTTGTTTTCTCAAGTTAACTTTTACCAAGATTCCGTGTCTTCCGGTCGGAAGTTGAAAGGATTCTGTAGTGGAACATGAATAATTCCTATGCATTGGAAATATATTTTATGTAATTCCAGTGAGCTGTGTGTGTATTTATTTCTGGTTATTTTGTTTGACCAGAGGGAAAAATTCTGATTTACTTGGTTTCTATCTCTAGTGCCCAAATAGTCTTGATATTTTCTGGTTTTCTAAAATTCGAGAACAAATTTCCAGCTGAGTAAAATATATCAATACCGCCTGACGCGTTTTGAAATTAAAGTGATGAGGTGATACAAGAACAAATTGCACCCTGTTGCCTGCTGAACAAAACATAATGTTTCTCAAACCTTTTCCAGTGGCCAAAGAGCTTCTTGAAACTCACTACCGTAATTGTTCTTCAACACAACAGAATTCATGTAATTATTAAACTGACAATCTTTAAATCGAAATAAAACTCTAGCCGATGGAGAATCTTCCTTGGAAAATATGACTTAGTCCAAAAAATCATCCTGAGAACTTGAGTTGAGAGCAGACCTTACGCGTGAGTGAGGCTCTGTAAATTCATTTCACATTAAAACATTCTTCTTCTTATGGTAAGGCATCTGAGTTACAATTCTGAATGCTGCGGATCTGATTTTGACTTGCTTCTTGTTTGAATTAAGCAGGAACATGGCTCTCAACTTTGC